TGAATTTGTTCGATTAAAATTAAATAAATATAATATATGACTTTATTCTTCAGAAATTAAAAAAAAGATGTGACTTTAGCTTGACGAAGCCACTTTGTTTGGTTGATATTCGGCAAAATTTCAATTTTAGTCCACTATGTTGGCACTTTTCCGAAATTGGTCCATCATGTAGGGTGTATTCAAAATAAGTCCACTATGTTGCCACTTTAATCAAGTTTCGTACACTTTTCAGGATGGATTGATAAGATGCTGACGTGGACGGATTAATTTCTGACGTGGAAGGTCAAATTCTTACGTGTGAGTCAAATTTCTACGTGGATAGTAAGTTCTCTCATATTCATTGACGTGGACGCTTTTCTTTTTTCCACCTAATTTTTTCTTAAGTTAATTAAGATTAAAAAATTGTTCCCCCTGAAGCTCGATGGAGTTTGAGCAGAAAAAATGGCGGATCGAAGGAGTAGGGTCATTTCATTCCAGTTCAGATCCTCAATCCTCATTAGGGTTACAGGCCAAGGAATGGCCCATTAGATCTGGCCACTACGCGTCGCCGTGGGTGGGAGTCCGGTGCGCCGGCAGTAGGGTCATCAGAACAACATCTCCGGGTTCCGGCGGACGAGAAGAAGCATTCAAAACATTGGGTCTCAATCGTCGCTCTCCAAAACCTGACCCTTTTTCCCTCGTTCAACGCTGCGAATTTCGAGCTTCCAGACCGATCTCAAGTGGGTTGACCTGTAGCTCGACAAACTCCAATGCTCGATCTAAGTTCGTGCTCCATTAACGGCTCTGTCCGGCCACCATCGGGAATCCCCAAACTATCTTTGTTCCCGAAATTATTCCCGAAATTGGCCTCTGCACAAATTCGATTTTTCCTTGAAAGACCTCGCGACGTGTTGCATCCCTTGCAGGTCATCGTCGGGTTCATGTGGATCTGAGAATCTGCGGGTCGGCCGGCCGGTGGTCGTGTGATGTAGCGGATTGGTGAATACAAGGGTAAAATAGGGTTTGGGATTGCAGGGGCTTGTGTTTGAAAATTTGATAAGTTTTAGGGATTGTTTTATAATTTTACAAAGTTTTAGTTAATTGCACTTAAGGCCTGGGGCAAATATGTGATTTTAAAACTTTTTAAAAAATTATAGTCCGATCCTTGGAGTCTCTTTATAATTTCAAAGAATTATGCATCAATCCATGTCACAAATTAATCCTGCCATGTCAGAAATTAATCCGTCCACGTCAGCATCTTATCAATCCATCCTGAAAAGTGTACGAAATTTGATTAAAGTGGCAACATAGTGGACTTATTTTGAATACACCCTACATGATGGACCAATTTCGGAAAAGTGCCAACATAGTGGACTAAAATTGAAATTTTGCCGTTGATATTCCCACTTTTCATTAGCATCAAAAACCCCTTCAATTGCACGCTGTCGGTAAGTAACAATGTAAATACTTCTAAGGGCAATGCTATATGTACACCCCTTTTTAATAAATTACACAAAGGGCAATGCTATATGTACACCTCTTTTTTACATACAAGGGGGTGTACATATAGACACCCCCTACTTCTAAATAGTAAATATTATAATTTATTTTTATTTTTTTTTTCCAAAAAGTGGGTAGAGATTGTTGAATTGGTAAGTTAATTAAGAACTTTGAGTTTAATTATTATTGTTTATTATTATTATTATTATTATTATTATTATTATTATTATTATTATTATTATTTAAATGAAATTTCTTTTTATTTATTCAATATATCCAACCACCTATATGTATTTGTTTATTTCTCAGATAATATATAGTGATATCCAAAGTCAACATAAATAGTTTGGTGGATATTGATTTTTGTGGATCAATCTTCCTTTATTTGGTTATTAGTCAACATCTGTAAATTACATCTGAGCTTTTCCATTTAATCTCGTTTTACAAATAATTTCACTAAACTAATGGTGAGTAATCAATACTTATTCCCTTAATTAAATTTATGATATATGAATAATTGGTAGTGATCAGTAATCAATACTTATTCCCTTAATTATTAATTTATCAATGTTATGTATGTCAAGTTGAAATCTAGGGTTGTGATATGAAGTTCTATATTACAAAATATAATGAAGAACTAAAGAGATTCTTATTTGAAAGTCAAGTTTCTTTATTATAGAATATAATAAAAAAACAAAGAGATAGTAAAATTATTTGAAACTCTACTTTTTTGAACACAATAATATTAATTACATTTACTATAAATATGTTTAACAGTGAAATGGACTTCACTCGATCTCTGCTCGAACTGTTACAATGGAAAAGACAACTTATTCTATCTTAAACGACCTTCACATTTACAAGGACTCAACACCGGAAGGGGGTTTTCTGGTGAATAGCCTCTGACGTCTAAGTCAGTCCTCAATTCAAGATAATGATCAGTAAAAATAAGTGTATGATAGTGTGTAGATAATGTAATCCTAACCACGCCCCTATATAGGGGTGTGATATCTTATTACCCAAGTTTGCCCGGAGAGTTGACCCAGCTGCCCTTGTTGCCCGTCTGTACGACCTGCAACGTTCCAAACTGTCAATTTGTCAAGGGTACAGACGACCCAACCCGAGCGCAACACGTGGCGCAATCCTCGCATGGCGTGGTTCCCCAATTAGACGCATTTTTGTCTTGATATGAGACTAGATCCACATCACCATGTAGAAGCTTACCTAGGTAGAAGGTATTCTTCTCCAGTTCCTCTATTAGTTGAGTAGAACATGGTCGATTCGACTTCCTGATTAGAGGTTGAGTTAGGTGCTAGCTTACCTCCCGACTGCTCTCCTCTTGGTAGGTCACCGATTATTGTCTTCAGGTCGACGAGGGTCAAACTGCTTTGTAAACTCGGTCGAGTTTGAGCTGGTATGATATCTCATATCAATGTTATTGCCACAACATATAATTATCAAGTTTTTATAGTTTTAAAAGATAAATCCCACGATTTCATGACATCACCATAATATACACTTCACATTTCAAACTAGATATAAATTAATTATTTAAAATCAAAGCATTATTATTATTTATTTTTTTTGTTTGAAAAACGCCAAAAAGAAAATCATTTAAAATGTTGTCATATAGAAACAACTTTATGACTCAAGGATTATTACTAAGAGGTAATCAAATACTTGTTATATTAAGCAGTAGAATTATTAATTTATAATTATGTAATGTCTCACTGAATCAAGTGTCCTTTAAGGATTGTTTGTATCTAATATATAACTCAATTCATACTTAATTTATATTGAAAATTTAATTTATTTTAATGGAGTCAATATAAAATCAATATAATCAAGTAATATCAATCAATAATTATTACACATCACATCAACTTTAATTTACCATTCATCAACTCACATAATTTTAACTAATTATCGTTTCACATAATCATTCTCATACTTTTACATCAAATCAACTTTACTTAATTTATTTTAAAATTATTTTAAAGTAAATTTTAAAACTCACTAACAACTAATTTTATTATTCTTTTTAAATTAATTTGATTAAAATAAACTCATTTTGAGCGTATATATTTTTTCTTTTAAAATTAATTTGATTAAAAATAAACTCGTTTTGAGCGTATATATATATATTTTTTTATCTAATCATACATTAAAAAGCTATGGCCAAGAAAGCTAAGGCCATTTTAATCACTAAAGTATAATCAATAATTGTGCATGTTGGGACCTCAATATCCAATGACATGTACGGTTGAAGAGAAATTGACATATTTATTGGCTTATTTGCAATTCAAAGATTTTATTGGGGCTAAAACGAATCTTTCCGAAAAATACAAATCCATAAGTGGCCTCCCTTATCTAATCTGGGCCGTCCGTATAGTCACGTTGGTACGTAACCCTTAACCCCACCAACTGGTCGGCACACTCTAATTAAATTATTAAAAAATTAAACAAATCCCTCAAAAATTAATAATAAAAATATTATTATTATGATTATTATTTTTTAAAGAGGAGAAAAATGTTAAACCACATAAAATGGGTTTGTTGTATGTATAAAATGGAGTCGCATTCACTTACCACGTTCTTCCTCTCTTACTCCTCGCTCTCCCCACCGTCAGATCTGCAAACCCTGTACGGCTGTACCTTTCCATTTCTCCATTTTTCTGTGTTTTTTCCGTCGAACATTAGCATTGATTAAGCGGAGGGCCTGCAGGCTGAGCGGCGGTGGTGGAGAGATTGCATTGGAGTTGGCCGCGGTGGGTGGGTTTTTGGTTATCTGTATTCTATATTTTCCTTCCATTTTTCACCCTGATAAAAGGATCGTGATTTGATCCGATTGGATCGAGGAGCATAATCAGGCTACTTATTGTTTGAGATTGCAAAGGAAAGATGCAGCAGCAAGATAAAGGAAGGAAGGTAAATGTGATTTCCTATCAAGTGTTTGTGGGGGTGATGCATGTATTTTATGTATCTTCAAATATTGGATAGACAATGTACTGAATCTAGTAATTCAAGATTGTTCATGACTAATGAGCCAATTTTTGTAGCTGTGACTGATGATTTTATTCATGGAGATGAAGGAAATTGAGATTTCGGCGATTTCCTATATGGGTTTTTTGTTTTATTATCCTCCTCAAGAACTCTGAGGGAAAATTGCTTCAGAAAGTTGTGATATTTCTATTTTGTGGCATAGTTTTGAAAGAGTGGATCTTTTATCCTAACGTTGGATTCTGTTTTCTTGATGGTGCCCGTGTTTTATGGAGTTTATTTCTCATGGGGCTTGCCTATTTACTTCTAAAGACTAGTGGAATTCTCGAATTGTCGAATTTATCTCGGGAGGTTCTGTGGCACTTACTATAGATCTTACTTTTTCTTAGCCTTTGGATTTTGGTTTAATGCTGTTGAAAAAGAAAAGGAACAAGAAAGAAAAGCTCAAACGAGTTATGTGATAACGAAATTTTCAACTACATATACCTTTGCTTTTCATTTTACTTTCACATGTACTTCCAGCTTTCTCCATGATTAGGCAAATGATGTAGTACTTTTGCAGACCCCGAAAGATGTTGAGTTTTTCACCGAGTATGGAGAGGCCAACAGGTACAAAATCCTGGAAATTATTGGAAAGGGTAGCTATGGAGTTGTTTGTGCTGCCATTGACACGCAAACTGGGGAGAAAGTGGCAATAAAGAAAATAACAGACATTTTTGAGCATATCTCTGATGCTATCCGAATTTTGCGAGAGATTAAATTGCTTCGTCTTTTGAGGCATCCTGATATTGTTGAGATTAAGCGGATTATGATGCCACCCTCTAGGCGTGACTTCCGAGACATTTATGTTGTTTTCGAGCTTATGGAGTCTGACCTTCATCAAGTCATAAAAGCTAATGACGACTTGACGCACGATCATCATCGTTTTTTTCTCTATCAAATGCTCCGTGCGCTGAAATATATGCACACAGGTAACTAGAATAAATGAAAGTATATTTGGTTTGAAAGCAAATTAATTGATGCATTCAGACAAGGTATTCTGTTCACTGTATGCAAGTTTTTCTTTTCCTCCTTTTCTGGTGTCTGCAACATATTGATCCTACATTATTTCAGTTTGAATGTGATATGCAACCTTGTCCGTTGTTTCCATCTGATGTTGTTTGATTTCAGCTAATGTCTATCACCGAGACCTTAAGCCTAAGAATATATTGGCAAATGCAAACTGCAAGCTTAAGATATGCGATTTTGGACTAGCAAGAGTGGCATTTAGTGACACCCCAACTACAATTTTTTGGACGGTATATTTTCCACTTTGTAGTTTTTTTTTTTTTTTTTTTTTTTTTTTTTTT